TTCCTTAGTGTAATTGTAGCTCTTAGAAAGCAGGCCGTCCTGGTTCCCATATAAATGCAACGTTGGAAAAGGAATAACAAACGCCAACCCCACTACTGGCGCTAACTGTAAGCATAGCCTGGCCTGATGCTGTCGGACTGGTGTGCATGCATATCATGACATGTGACCAAACATTGGTATAGTCATCTTTATTTCTGATAAGGCATTAATTATTCATGTATTTTTGAAATGCCAAGAATTTGAAAGAATAATATGACAAAAAATAAGTCTGATACACAAATGAATTCAGATCTTTATTTAATTATCGTTGCAAAATTATTTCAAATAAGATAACAAACTTTACTAGGAAATTAAGATTTTAATAAATAAAACATATATGTTGCTTATCGTCATTTTACAATGCGTATCAAAATACGAGATATAAAAGAACGTTTGACTGCCAGAAATCATACACAAGGCGAATGAAAAAGGAAATAAACGTCCACAATTCAGTTCACAATCTAGCAACATATCACACTTTATTGTACCGCTTTCGGCGCTTTGCTTTTACTTGCAACAAATAAGAATAAGTATGGACACAAAATAATATATTCCGCAATTTAACTTAACATGACACGAATTCATTCACTGATTATTCATGAACTTTAACGATGTAGCGACTGTGGTATCAAATTTCTGGGGTTTCCGAGCATAACATGCATCACGCCACGAAATTCCCACGAAAACGCGAGAAAGCGAAATACGCCACAAAACGTCATCAATCCAGGCCCGGAGCTACGGGGGGATGTGACACCCCCCCCCCCCCAGAAATTCTATTCCAAGCTTCAGTCGGCAGGATTGCTATTTCAGTTGGCAGATAAGTATATTTTGACGAATAAAACTACTACCGATATGATTTTCACCTGTTACATAAGAAACGGAAAATTTGGTTACTCGAAATTTACTCAGCAAGATAATCACTATAATCGGTTAATAAAACAAGCCCAGATTGCCAGTTAAACCACATAGCGATACAAAAGATCTCAAATTAAGTATATGTAGCATGTTTGATAGGTAGAAGCGCTGAACACAATATATTCCAGCCAAAAACTCAATTATCAAATACGGCGATTTAGAGCAGGCCTTATTTAGAGCACAATGGGCGTAACTTCAGGGACCGCGGAGTAGGGGAGTGCGGCTACAATTTCCCATACATATGTGATTTTTTCTAAACTAATACTTTACTGGAATCTTTCAGGTCAGTTAACAATATATTTATAACTTATTCAGTATATATTCTATCTATTTCTGGTTGGATTAAACAAATGACGGGTAATGTTAGATTAAGGCCCCAGTTAAACAATACAGGATTCGTAATGGAGCGACAACGTTTTCCAGTTTTGTCTGCTATAACAACTTTTCATATATGAAATTTATGTTTAATTATGCTATATTATCATAATTTAAATGCCAAATTCACCTCGAAGCAGTTAATTTAATGTCGCTCCGATGCGAATCCGCTATCGTATAACTGGGGCCTCAGAGTCGTCTATTAAAAAACTTTTTAACAGCAACTAGTAAATTTGATTCCATTTCCGGGGCTTTGCGAGGTCTCAAATTTCAAAATTTCCCGGAGAGCATTCCCCTGGACCCCCTAACAAGCTCATGCCTTCGACGTTTTACAAGCTTCCATGGCTAGTAGAGGTGTGCATCGGATCGAATTGGACGTTAATAATCCGACAATTGGCTAATGTTTAAAATCCGATCCGAAATTGTCTAGTACGAATCCGGTCCGATCCCAGTTGTAATAAAGTATTCCAATCCGATCCGAAGAATCCTTTAACAAAATAAATTTCTCATTAATGTAGAAATGTTTAACCAAATAATTAAAAAAGCAAGAAATACATGTCATTCTTGACGTCCAATTGAAATATCAAACGAAAAATGCAGCGACAACCGCGATAATACTTTGATAAATGCATGGATAATTAATTCTTGCAATACTACGTGGATAATTAATTCATTTTATTTCGAATATCGAAGTCCGATCCGATCCGACTGCGAAACAACTTGATCAATTCGATCCGATCCGAAATGTATATTTTTGTTCCGAAATCCGAACGAATCCGATCGGATCGGATTTGGATCGGATTTGCACACCTCTAATGGCTAGCATGTGGTCGGTACAAGCTCGTTCGTGAGTCGGTTGAAATGACCTTACATCCCCCTGAAAACTTTCCTGGGGACGGCCCTGGAAACAGCAATAATTTCTCAGCTATCGGCTGGATTTACAATCTGAATTTGCAAACTTTACAAATAGATTATTATGTTTTTATACGATGAGCAAACATTATTAGTGCGTGAACGATATTTTGCCCCACAAAATGACTCGCATTATATCACCATAACCACGTATATAAATACCTGGGGCTGATTTGAATCACGGCAAATGTTCGATACTGGATGCAAATTCAATGGCAAAAATTGCTTCAAAAATATACATCTTCAATGTCCGAAATAACTTCAATAGCGGAAACCTGTTGTACGATGACAGACATGATTATTGGCGGTAATATGACGCTATATAAATTTGATCTCAAACGCGTGTACTACTTCTTGTACATTTCTCGCATCATAGAAAATATAGTTAGGGTTTAGATGAACTTTCTAAGAGAGTGCGCAGAGGTATTTCTAGTTTAATGTAGTACCCGTTGGTTTGTCTACTGCCCGATACATTTTTACAAAATCACTGCGTCCCCTCGTAAATATATAGATTGGTAAAGGTTTTCATTCAATAGTCTATTTGGATAATGGCCTTGGCCTCGAAGAAATTTATGAAAAGGCTGAATACGTAGCCCACCACACTGAGGCATGCCAGTTAATTTGTTAATGCCAACAGCTTCAAAAGGCTTATATTAATTACTTGCAAATCTCAAACATATATAAAATTAATATACAAGGCATGCAGTATCTCACCACGGGCAGGTATATATTTAGCCTATATAAATCGGCAAGGCCAGCTTGCCCGGTTTGATATCATACTACAATACCTGCAGTGCTTGATTCTACAAGATTATGGCCTAAAATGTTCCAATTGTAGTTTCAGGATTTGTTAAGGGTCTGTTGATATGATCTGGGCTATGCAGCATGGAACCCTAAAGTCAAGTTCATGTTGCTTGGTTGGCATAGAGTGTTTACTGTAAATGGTGATTTTTTTGGCCTGCATAATTGGGATTCTGGCAACGGATACCTTGTGCTTAGCCAGAATAGTAGCAGGATAGTATATCAACAACGCTGGCAAATGTTGTCTTCTGTCTAGCCATGCAGGTCATAAGAACTGGTCCCATTTTTAACTATGTACTGAGCCAGATCAATGAAGAAACAATTAGGGCCCTATATGTCCATAAATTTTAATATCTGAACAAAATTTTGATATCTGTCCCAAAGTCATCCATCTTCCTTAAGTTTAGGACTCATATGCTGTGACTCAAGGGTTAAAAATATGGAAAAGGATCAATTTTATGGACAAAAATCGCAAAAAAACCGCTTGCACGAAAGCTCTGAAGTGACCCCATATGTTTGTTTACAAATTTCATGTGATGACGCGTTTTACACATTCTGATTGGCTTAGAGCAAAAATGTAAACAAAAGCCCTGATTGGTCGAAAACGAAATTCCACCTTGTTAATATCACAATGCTAAACAATTCATTTTAATTAAATACAAGCAGTCGCAGCGACTTGCGATAAGCTTCGTGCGCTGACTGGAAATCCGCTTTTACTCGCCTTGAGCGTTTCCACGTTGATTGCATTGATATAACTGTATGGAGATTACATATAGGTCCCATGTAGTATAAAATCCGGCATGTTAAAATTTGGAGTCGAAATGAGCTTTGTTGAGAAAAAAGTTCTTGATTGTAACCGTGATTGAACCACGAATACATATATATTACACTTTGTGTGTTTGCATGATTTCCGTTTGACCTGTAAGCTGTGTATGTTGTAGACATGTATATTGCACGCATACATTGCTACATACCTATCTCTGGGAATGGACTGTTTTAATCTCGTACACTTGTTAACTGTGCAGTCTGTGTGTGTTATGTAAGTTGAACATTTATGCTGCATGCGTGTTGGTGTGAATGTTACTTTGGCTGTACAAACGTACAGGTTGCATGTACTGTAGACCGTTAATATTATTCTGAGGACACATAACTTTAATTAAATATTTCCTATGTACCTATATCGGTAACTGTGCACGTCTCATGTACTAAATGTTATCTAGGGGCACATGCATACGATATGAACAAATACCGTATATCACTTCTGTCAATGTCTAAACGTTGACTTACAGGTACTTTTCAGTGGCAGTACAACTCGTTGGAGTTCAAACTTGTGCGCAGCTGCAATCAATTGTTTTTTATTTCCTGATTTGCTTTGTCGCACAAATTATCATGGACCAAAGTAGTCCTTACTTGTTTTATTATATAATTAAATCGATATAAAACGTCCTAATTTGGTGTATGGATTATTGTCTATAAACCAATCGCGACAGATATTCAGCCATATTATAATATTTTTATTACATACCCGTTGACTGTAGAGAGCTGTGTAGGACAATCAGGTCATTATATGCCTTGCCGACAAGAATACTTCGGACTGAATTTTCGTTCGATATATTTATTTGATTTATAGAAAATACACCAGCGTTTTGGAAGTACAATGAATCTCCAGATATGGTCAGCAGATACCAACTAAATGACCCATTTCTGATACTGTTCAAGTGCTGGAAATCATAATCACTTGAAAATATATGACGACCTCCTTCAATCCAGTACACTCGTTTGTTGGTGTAATCAAGTGTAATTCCCCCAGGCTCTGATTGCCTTGCCAATTTACTTATGCTGTTAGTAGCCAAATTCATTCGCTGCACATTATAATCTGACAAAAAACCACTTGTCCAAAACAAATGCCTATACAGTAAAGAAAAATGATAATGTTAAAGACAGGAACAAAATATTATTTTCCTAAATTCCTCGTTTTCAGATTCGCTGTTTTTCACAACGATACTACTATTGAGATAACTCAACGTTATCAAGGGGGTTCTGAAAAAGCTACTTAAGGGAACTTAGTCCCTTTAGTCCCTCCGGTTATCTTTTCGTGTCACGCAAACACGAAACCTAATCCTAACCATAACCTCCTAACTGCTTACATTTAGTGACTGCGTGACATGAAAATTTAACCAGATGCTCTTTCACTTTGTGGGACGGCTTATAATTTTTATCAAGATAAAAATAATCTTTGAAATATAACAAATTTTTCATTGTTAATTAGGATTTGTCATGATTGTTCAGTTATACGCGCGGGATGGCATTTTCACTAATGAGCCCGGAAGTTATTGTATGTTTCCTGTTTTAATGCTATCAAATTATACGTTTTCAAAACATTATTTAAAATGCATGAAGTTGTTTTACAGTGATCCAAGTCACAGTCGATATGATGGAAGTCATGTCGATTTTCGATTGGCGAGGCCAGCCCAGGTGGCACATGGTGCCCTGTGCATGCCATGTATTGAAATATTAAACAATTTTAGATTCTGCTTTTGAAACAGATGCTAATTAAGCTATAGTTGGCCAAAAGCATCCTAACGACAAGAGAATGTCAAAACAGTTCACACCATCTTACTTCAATTGAAATTGCCCAACGAGTAACATTTTAAGACCAGAGCACAGTGTCACTGACGCCATATTTGGTGTGGGGGCCCCTGTTGACTGCATGTTCTCATTTTTTGTCTGGGATATTATATTTATATTGAATATTGATCGAATGTTCTGGAAAATTTCGTGTCTATAACAACAACAATAAGAGTCTCTAACACATGTAACAACTAATATTATTTATTGTGCATTCCCCCATTGATTCTTAACCAGCACATTTTATGTTTTCTAATTTTCTGGGCGATTGGCCGTGGCTGACGAGGGGCCCTATACAGGGTTTATAAAAACAACTGAACTGACTTGAAATCGCTCTCAATTTCGCAACACAGCTATTAGTATCCAGTTTTTTATGTATATAGATTCTTGGGGTACTTAAAATGTAGAATAATTTCTCGAACTCAAATTTGGTGAACCAGGGGGTGTGACTTTTTCTAAACTAAAAATGGCTTGCCCACGAAATTTAAAAGCTTTAGTCATATTTTAAAAAATTAGCCTTTCGCATGCTTAATTAATGCCTTTGCCTAATTTGCATATTGCTGACATATGCAAATTAGGCAAAGGCATTAATTAGCATGCAAGTTTATCAAACTAAACCTAAAACTGAAGCAAATTTTCTGAAATTTTGTACAGTAATTAAAAACCCGACAAATTTTCCATCTACTAACTCAAAATATGATTAAAGCTTTTAACTTTCGTGCGCAAGCCATTTTTAGTTTGTTGGAAAAGACACCCTCCCCCTGGTTCACAAAATTTGAGTTCGAGAATTTTTTTATTATTCTACATTATAAGTACCCAAAGAAGCTATATACATAAAAAACTGGATACTAATGGCTGTTTTGCAAAATTGAGAGCAAATTCATATCTGTTCAGTTTTTTTTATACATCCTGTATAACTGTTGGGGGCCATTAACTAACCCTACCCAATGAGCGTTACGCCACTGCTTGTATAAAACATGTTAGTTAAAAAAACTCTTTTATTTTTGAGAGTAACAACAGGTACAATTTTATCAATGCAACCTATTCTGATTAGGTAAGAGTTAATTACCGAAAATAAGGTTTCTTAGCAAGATATATTACCCTAATGGGGTGACCCGAAGAAAGCGTCTCAAAGAATGTAACTCCCGAGGTATACTTGGTGAGGTCACGCTCCCATGCAAGGGATGTATCTCCCTAAAGGCCGGCGCACACTAGAGCTATGTGCTTAGCAAAATGTCATTCGTGACTGTTGGCGTAAGGAGATAGCTCTCGTGTGCGGGCGATTTACGAACGACTTTTGTCATTCGTGCCACTTACGCCAAATATCTAGCATGTTTGATAATTTCTGCCTCGCGTGCCAAAATCTTTCCGTGTGCGGCGAACGAAAGCTATCTGCTTACGGATTGTCGTAACAGCGCATGCGTAGTATACGAAAGTAAACATCCAAGATGGCGGCGCAAAATGAATTGCTGGCCGAGGCAATTTTAGAGGACAAACTTACTGGCTATTTCTTTCACCGCACATTCCCTTTTGTCCCTATTTCTAAAATCTGCAGAACTCACATCGTATAAACATTTGTATTCAGGCCAAAGTCCAGCAATTCATTTTTGCTTTGTCCAGCAATTCATTTTGCGCCGCCATCTTGGATGTTTACTTTCGTATACTACGCATGCGCTGTTACGACAATCCGTAAGCAGATAGCTTCCGTTCGCCGCACACGGAAAGATTTTGGCACGCGAGGCAGAAATTATCAAACATGTTAGATATTTGGCGTAAGTGGCACGAATGACAAAAGTCGTTCGTAAATCGCCCGCACACGAGAGCTCTCTCCTTACGCCAACAGTCACGAATGACATTTTGCTAAGCACATAGCTCTAGTGTGCGCCGGCCTTAAGAAACCGACGTTCCAGGTTATTAACTCACTTAGTTCAAATTTGTAAGGATGAAAAACAACGAAATTTACTTTATAATATGTTTGTCCTTTTAAATGATTTTGAATTACCATGATTGGAATAAAAAAACAGGGTTGCCATTTGATATCGTCCATTCTCTTGTTGTACTAGTACTACGAAAGCATGTTGACAATAAAAGTAAGACTGCATCGCCGCCAATGCAGCCCCTGATGTGTCAAATGAATAATATTGAGGATTTAATCAACTTGTCTGAAATTAACGATCTATGTGATATTGAAACCGATGTCTTGGGCGATGCATACAAATCTGATGATATGCTTCTAAGTCCAAACAATTCTACTATAAAGGAACTTGAAGCCTTTATTGACAAGTCTTTCTATAGCGCCTCTGTCGAGTTATCTAATCCTGTCCGGCAGCCGACGGACTTCTCTACTCTAGCGCAGGGACGCTCTGAGGAAAACTTGCCTAAACCCGAAGCTCAATTTCTAACATTTAAAGAAAATGTTGAAACTCGGCTGCAAGTTTTGTCGTTCAAGCTCTTTGAACAGAATAATACCATAAATATAAATAAACAAGAGCTATGCAAATTGACCTGCAAAAATTTACATCTTAAATCACGTATCTCGGAGTTGGAGGGGAGACTGTCGCCAAAGAATACAAAAAATGGGAGTAGTGACCTGAGCCCGTATGAAAAAATAGTTAAAGGAAATAATATCTTAACTGCGAATATAGATGTTTGTGCTATTTCTAGTCGCCTTTCGCCTGGAACAACTGCATATGTCGATGACAGCGATGAATATGCTATCTCAACTGCGAATGCCGATGCTTGTGCTGTTCCTAGTGACAGTCCACCCGAAAAAAGGGCGCATGCTGATGACACTTCGGCCCCTATAAGTCAACAGTGTGGTGAAGATAACAGCGGAGATTATGATAAAGAGACTCGGAACCGGACTGACAATATCGTCAACCCAGAACGCACAATCAAGTCAACAAAGCAAGTTTTGTACACGTTAAGCAATCCAACTATAGATAACCATGGAGAGAACAAAGAAAACATCGGTCTCGTATCAGCGAACAGTATCGGGAGGTGTCGGCAAAATTCGACCACTTACGAGCAAGAATTAAGGTCCCCCAAAACCCCAACTAGGTTAACAAATAAGCCTCGCCAGAAGCCAAATACAAAGGCTGCCTTACAAAGCACAAATGTTAACAATAAAATCAAGTCTGATCTGCCGCTCCCGACCCGCTCTAAATCCCAAGTACCTGAGTGGCTTTCCGGTTTACCTTTGGTTGAAATCCCAGTTGACTATAGTCAATCTCCTTTTCCACAGCGTCAGCGAACCGAAAACCCACCATACCAGCAAATCGGATGTCCCCGAACTAAATTCCAAGTACCCAAGTGGCTTTCTTGTTTACCTTTGGTTGAAATCCCAGTTGATTATAGTCAATCTCCTTTTCCAAAGCGTCAGCAAACCAAGAACCCACCGTACCAGCATATCGGATGTCCCCGATCGAGGGATTGGCTGAGTTACCTCGACTTTGTTCGCCAAGCCACGAGAACCAATTCGAAATTACATCTTTCCGACCGATCTCAGCTAACTCTCGTTTCACGCCTAACAATATCTTAATGGGAAGTAATATACCCAAGTATCCTAACGAATCAAGTGCTATCCCGATCATAATTTCAAAGCGTATTGCGAGAGTAAATAACAATAATGTACACCGATCTAACTTAATCAATATACCTATGAACGATGAATGTAGAAAATCTGTGACGTGCTTACAACAGATAGTCCCCCCAAAGTCATGCAGTTCCGTACCTTCCCTGTTCCTGTCCAACTCGAGGTCACTAGTAAATAAGATTGATGAACTTTCTGGTACCGTCTCTAATCTCCTTGCAGACATTGTAGTTATCACCGAAACGTGGCTCACTTCCAACGTCGATAGCGCAGTGATAAACTTAAGTGGGTTCTCTATATTTAGGCGCGATCGAGAAGATGGTAGAAGAGGTGGGGGCGTGTGCACTTACGTGAAAAACTGTCTACCTGTAGTCCATTTGAAGGATCTCTCGAAGCCTGAATTTGAAGCTTTGTGGCTATTAATCAAACCAAGACGCCTACCACGTGGCATTAATTCAATCGTATTGGGAGCCATTTATCATCCGCCAAATAGTGACAATAGGGCCATGTTGGCTTATCTTACCGAGTCCCTTGACCGCGCTCTAACAGCTAACCCAGGAGCTGCCATCATCCTAACCGGCGACTTCAACCAATTCAAACACCGCCAACTGTGCAATTCGTTTTCCTTAAAACAGATCGTGAAGAATGCTACTAGAGGATCAAACATTCTTGATAAAATCTTCACGAACATTTCGAAATTTTACGACGTTCCTGAAGTTGTTCCTCCACTCGGATTCTCAGACCATAACTCAGTTTTACTAAATCCACTGAATTATCGTAAGAACTCGCGGTCTTTCCGAATGGTTCGAGATGCGCGTCCCTCCAATCGGAGGTTAATCACTGAAGCCCTATCCAGTGTTAACTGGTCTCCAATGTATCATCTGAGCTCTTGTGACGAACAGTTCCAATATTTCTCTTCCATTGTTGATGGTATTGTTGATAAATATCTCCCTCTGAAACGTATTAAATCTGACAGCAGCGATAAGCCCTGGATTACTCCAGAGATAAAAAGATTAATATCGAAACGCCAAGTAACATGGCGGAAAGGAAACAAGCCTATGTTTCGATTCTATAGGAACAAAATTAATATCTTGTGTAGGCATGCTCGCTCAAAGTATTATACCAACAATGTCGCTAATACCACTCAGTCGAATCCACGGAAGTGGTGGTCCGCTGTCAAAAATATTGCTGGCCTTGCCCCATCTAAAAACGTTTCCACACTTGTGTACAACGGACAGCCCTATTCCGATTCGGCTCTGGCCAACCTGTTCAACGACAAGTTTGTTGCTGTTGGGAATTCCCTGCCTCCGCTTGCTTGGACGCCCCTCGAAGTCGGTGATTCTCCTCCCGACTTTTACATTTCAGTCGACGACACCGAGAAAGCATTACAATCCGTCAAGTCCTTTTCAGCTGCAGGTCCTGACGAAATCACGCCTTGGTTCCTCCGTGATAATTCCTCGTTATTGTGTCGCCCATTAGCATCCATATTTAATGCCTCTATTCATGATGGTTGCGTTCCATCCCTGTGGAAATCTGCAAATGTCATTCCTGCAGCAAAGTCTTCTCCTGCTCTGGATGTTGACTCTGATTTTCGACCGATATCGCTCACGCCCATAGTGAGTAAGATTCTGGAATCATTTCCATATAACTGGCTCTTGCAGTCAATCCGCGACCAAATCGATAAGCTCCAATTTGGCTCAATTAAAGGATCTAACACCACCATGGCGCTAATACACCTGCTTCATAAATGGTACGAAGCGATGGACACACCTGGAGCCTGCCTACGGATATGCATGCTAGACTTTTCCAAAGCTTTTGACCGTATCGATTTCAACATTCTGATGCAGAAACTCATTAACATGGGCGTACACCCTATCCTAATTAATTGGATTGCCAATTTCCTTACCGACAGAAGTCAGAGAACAAGAATTGGCTCTAATTTTTCGAGTTGGAGAACTACCAACGGAGGAGTCCCCCAAGGAACCAAATTGGGCCCCCTCCTCTTCCTCATCATGGTGAACGACTTGAATGTTTCTGACGATACAGTGAAATTTGTTGACGACACCACTATCTGGGAGATCGTCTTGAAGGGTCAAGAATCCAACTCGGTCCTACCGTCTCAAATTACAGAATCTACCAAATGGGCGTCTGAGAATAACATGAAACTGAACCCTATAAAAACAAAAGAAGTTCGTGTTGGGTTTTCTCCTCTTGATCCCGGGGCTCTTCCGCCGATCACCATTGACGGTCACGACATAGTTGTGGTTCCGCATGCTAAATTACTTGGTGTCATGATATCTAAAGATCTGAAATGGATCGAGCACGTTGATTATATCTGCAAGAAAGCTTCGAAGCGATTGTATGCCTTACGATTACTTAAGAGAGCCTCTATACCAGCGAGCAAGTTAGTCCGGGTTTTTACTACCTGCGTTCGACCAATCTTAGAATTTTCGTGCGAGGTATGGCACTATAGCTTGGCGCAATATTTGAGCGACGAGATCGAGAGTATTCAACGGAGAGCCCTTCGTATAATCTTTCCTGATCTCAAATATGAAGATGCGTTGGTACGTGCTGGGGTGGTGTCACTGTTCCTGCGGAGAAAGACCATTTGCGAGAAACTTTTTGCTCAAATGTGTGATGAATCATCCCATAAACTCCATTCTCTCGTTCCCCCAAGACATAAAACAGGATATTCTCTACGTAATGATAATTGTCTTTCAATACCAAAGCATAGGACAAGTAGGTTTGCTAACAGTTTTATTATGGCCGGTAGTAAGGCCTACAACTCCAGTTTTAAATAATAATATTTAAGCTATATTCTTACCTAGAACTATTACAATTAACAGCTTGTAAATAATGAGTGTTTGTAGACATTTTACTCGTATGCATGTAAACCAGTGTAATTCAGTTCTTAACTGCAAAATTGGTATCTTTTAATAAATTGATAAATTGATAAATTTTCGCTCGGACCTGTTCAAGGAAAAAGTTGAAATTTCGATTTTTAAAACCCGTGTGAAAAGTTGAAATTTTCGATTTTGGTTTGAACCATTTCGGGAAAAATGTTGAAATTTGAATTTTTAAATTGATGATGAAGGGTTGAAATTTTCGATTTTCCCTCGGACCTGTTCGAGGAAAAAGTTGAAAATTCGATTTTTAAAACCGGTGTGAAAAGTTGAAATTTTCGATTTTGGTTTGAACCACATCGGGGAAAAAGTTGAAATTTGAATTTTCAAGTTTTGCTTATCAAGAGTTGAAATTTTCGATTTTCGCTCGGACCTGGGTGAGGAAAAATTTGAAATTTCGATTTTTAAGACCGGGAGAAAAGTTGAAATTTTCGATTTTGGTTTGTGCCGCTTCAGGGAAAAGTTGAAATTTGAATTTTTACGGCTATTTGGAGGAGTTGAAATTTTCGATTTTCGCTCGGACATCTTCGAGAAAAAAGTTGAAATTTCGATTTTTAGACACCTTTGAAATTTGAAATTTTAGATTTTGGCTTGAACCGCTAAGAGGAAAAAGTTGAAATTTGAATTTTTAAGGCTTCGATGAAGAGTTGAAATTTTTCATTTTCGCTTTGATCAGGGGAGGAAAAAGTTGAAATTTCGATTTTTAGACACGAATGAAAAGTTGAAATTTTAGATTTTGGTTCGGACCGTAATGAGGAAAAAGTTGAAATTTGAATTTTTAAGGCTATGATGAAGAGATGAAATTTTCGATTTTCGCTCGGGCCTGTTCGAGGAAAAAGTTGAAATTTCGATTTTTAGAGACGTATGAAAAGTTGAAATTTTAGATTTTGGCTTGGACCGGTATGAGGAAAAAGTTGAAATTTGAATTTTTGAGGCTATTGTTGAAGAATTTAAATTTTCGATTTTCCCTCGTATCTGTTCAGATGAAAAAGTTGACATTTCGATTTTTAAGATCCGATTGAAAAGTTGGAATTTTAGATTTTGCCTTGGGCCACTACGAGGAAAAAGTTGAAATTTGAATTTTGAAGGCTTCGATGAAGAGTTGAAATTATTGATTTTCGCTCTGATCTGTTGGAGGAAAAAGTTGAAATTTCGTTTTTTAGAGGCGAATGAAAAGTTGAAATTTTACATTTTGGCTTGGACCGTTATGAGGAAAAATTGGAAATTTGAATTTTTAAGGCTATGATGAAGAGTTGATATTTTCGATTTTTGTTCGGGCCTGTTCGAGGAAAAAGTTGAAATTTCTATTTTTTATATACCTTTGAAAAGTTGAAATTTTCGATCTTGGTTTGAACCACTTCGGGAAAAAGTTGAAATTTGAATTGTAAGGCAATTTACAAGAGCTGAAATTTTCGATTTACGCTTGGACCTGTTCGAGGAAAAAGTTGAAATTTGAATTTTTAGGCTGTAATGAAGAGTTGAAATTTTCGATTTTCGCTCGGACCTCTTCGAGGAAAAAGTTGAAATTTTGATTTTTAGAAACCTTTGAAATTTGAAATTTTAGATTTTGACTTGAACCGCTTAGAGGAAAAAGTTGAAATTTGAATTTTTAGGATCTAATGAAGACTTGAAATTTTCGATTTTCGCTCGGACCTCTTCGAGGAAAAAGTTGAAATTTTGATTTTTAGACACCTTTGAAAGTTGAAATTTTAGATTTTGACTTGAACCGCTTAGAGGAAAAAGTTGAAATTTGAATTTTAAGGCTGTGATGAAGAGTTGAAATTTTCGATTTTTGTTTGGACCTGTTCAAGGAAAAAGTTGAAAATTCGATTTTTAAAACCCGTGTGAAAAGTTTAAATTTTCGATTTGGGTTTCAACCACATTAAGGAAAAAGTTGAAATTTGAATTTTCAAGGCTGCTAATCAAGAGTTGAAATTTTCGATTTTCGCTCGTACCTGTGGGAGGAAAAATTTGAAATTTCGATTTTTAAGACCTGAGAGGAAAGCTAAAATTTTCGATTTTGGTTTGTTCCGCTTGGGGGAAAAGTTGAAATTTGAATTTTTAAGGCTTTGACGAAGAGATGAAATTTTCGATTTTTGCTCGGACCTGTTCAAGGAAAAAGTTGAAATTTCGATTTTTAAAACCCGTGTGAAAAGTTGAAATTTTCGATTTTGGTTTGAACACCATTTCGGGAAAAATGTTGAAATTTGAATTTTAAGGCTATTTGTCAAGAGCTGAAATGTTCGATTTTCGCTCAGGCCTGTTCGAGGAAAAAGTTGAAATTTTGATTTTCAAGACTTGTGTTAAAAGTTGAAATTTTCGATTTAGGTTTCGACCATTTCGGGAAAAAAGTTGCAATTTGAATTTTTAAGGATATTTATCAAGAGTTGAAATTTTCGATTTTCGCTCGGGCCTGTTCGAGGAAAAAGTTGAAAATTCGATTTTTAATACCCGTTTGAAAAGTTGAAATTTTAGATTTTGCTTGGACCGCAGGGAGGAGAAAGTTGAAATTTGAATTTTTAAAGTGATGATGAAGAGTTGAAATTTTCTATTTTCGCTCCGACCTGTTCGAGGAAAAAGTTGAAAATTCGATTTTTAAAACCTGTTAGAAAAGTTTAAATTTCCGATTTGGGTTTGAACCACATAATGGAAAAGTTGAAATTTGAATTGTCAAGGATGTTAGTCAAGAGTTGAAATTTTCGATTTTTGTTCGGACCTGTTCGAGGAAAAAGTTGAAATTTGAATTTTTAAGGCTATGAGGAAGAGTTGAAATTTTTGATTTTCGCTCTGATCTGTTGGAGGAAAAAATTGAAATTTCGAAATTTAGACGCGAATGAAAAGTTGAAATTTTAGATTTTGGCTTGAACCACTATGAGGAAAAAGTTGAAATTTGAATTTTTAGGGCTATGTTGAAGAGTTGAAATTTTCGATTTTTGCTCAGACCTGTTCGAGGAAAAAGTTGAAATTTCGATTTTTAAAACACTTGTGAAAAGTTGAAATTTTCGATTTTGGTTTGAACCACTTCGGGATAAAAGTTGAAATTTGAATTTTTACGGCTATTTATCAAGAGTTGAAATTATTGATTTTCGCTCTGATCTGTTGGAGGAAAAAGTTGAAATTTCGATTTTTAGAGACGAATGAAAAGTTGAAATTTTAGATTTTGGCTTGGAGCGCTATGAGGAGAAAGTTGAAATTTGAATTTTTGAGGCTATTGTTGAAGAATTGAAATTTTCGATTTTCGCTCGTATCTGTCCCGATGAAAAAGTTGACATTTCGATTTTTAAGATCCGATTGAAAAGTTGGAATTTTAGATTTTGGCTTTGACCACTACGAGGAAAAAGTTGAAATTTGAATTTTGAAGGTTTCGATGAAGAGTTGAAATTATTGATTTTCGCTCTGATCTGTTGGAGGAAAAAGTTGAAATTTCGATTTTAGAGACGAATGAAAAGTTGAAATTTTAGATTTTGGCTTGGACAGCTATGAGGAAAAAGTTGAAATTTGAATTTTTAGGGCAATGATAAAGAGTTGAAATTTTCGATTTTTTCTCGCGCTTGTTCGAGGAAAAAGTTGAAATTTCGATTTTTAATACCCGTGTGAAAAGTTGAAATTTTCGATTTTGGTTTGAACAAATTCTGGAAAAAAGTTAAATTTGAATTTTTAAGGCAATTTGTCACGAGCTGAAATTTTCGATTTTCGCTCGGCCCTGTTCGAGGAAAAAGTTGAAATTTTGATTTTTAAGACATAGTTAAAAGTTGAAATTTTCGATTATGGTTGGTGCGCTTCTGTGAAAAAGTTGAAATTTGAATTTTTGAGGCTATTGTCGAAGATTTGAAATTTTCGATTTTGGATTGAACCGCTTCGGGAAAAAAGTAGAAATTTCAATTTTTAAGGCTGTATTTGGAGAGTTGAAATTTTCGATTTTCGCTCTGACCTGTTCGACGAAAAAGTTGAAATTTCGATTTTCAAGAGCCTAGAGAAAAGTTGAAATTTTCGATTTTTGTTTGTTCCGCTTCGGGAAAAGGTTGAAATTTGAATTTTTAAGGCTATTTTGAAGAATGGAAATTTTCGATTTTCACTCGGAACTGTTCCAGGAAAAAGTTGAAATTTCGATTTTTAGAAACCTGTGAAATTTGAAATTTTAAATTTTGGCTTGAACCGCTATGAGGAAAAAGTTGAAATTTGAATTTTTAGGGCAATGATGAAGAGCAGAAATTTTCGATTTTCGCTCGGACCTGTTCGAGGAAAAAGTTGAAAATTCCATTTTTAAAACCCGTTTGAAAAGTTTAAATTTTCGATTTGGGTTTGGACTACATCAGCGAAAAAGTTGAAATTTGAATTTTCAAGGCTGGTAATCAAGAGTTGAAATTATTGATTTTCGCTCTGATCTGTTGGAGGGAAAAGTTGAAATTTCGATTTTTAAGACCCGAGAGAAAAGTTGAAATTTTCGATTTTGGTTTGTTCCTCTTCGGGGAAAAGTTGAAATTTGAATTTTTAGGGCAATGATGAAGAGCAGAAATTTTCGATTTTCGCTCGGACCTTTTCAAGGAAAAAGTTGAAATTTCGATTTTTAAAACCCGTGTGAAAAGTTGAAATTTTCGATTTTGGTTTGAACCATTTCGGGAAAAATGTTGAAATTTGAATTTTTAAATTGATGATGAAGGGTTGAAATTTTCGATTTTCCCTCGGACCTGTTCGAGGAAAAAGTTGAAAATTCGATTTTTAAAACCGGTGTGAAAAGTTGAAATTTTCGATTTTGGTTTGAACCACATCGGGGAAAAAGTTGAAATTTGAATTTTCAAGTTTGCTTATCAAGAGTTGAAATTTTGGATTTTCGCTTGGACCTGGGTGAGGAAAAATTTGAAATTTCGATTTTTAAGACCGGGAGAAAAGTTGAAATTTTCGATTTTGGTTTGTGCCGCTTAAGGGAAAAGTTGAAATTTGAATTTTTACGGCTATTTGGAGGAGTTGAAATTTTCGATTTTCGCTCGGACATCTTCGAGAAAAAAGTTGAAATTTCGATTTTTAGACACCTTTGAAATTTGAAATTTTAGATTTTGGCTTGAACCGCTAAGAGGAAAAAGTTGAAATTTGAATTTTTAAGGCTTCGATGAAGAGTTGAAATTTTTCATTTTCGCTTTGATCAGGGGAGGAAAAAGTTGAAATTTCGATTTTTAGACACGAATGAAAAGTTGAAATTTTAGATTTTGGTTGGGACCGTAATGAGGAAAAAGTTGAAATTTGAATTTTTAAGGTTATGATGAAGAGATGAAATTTTCGATTTTCGCTCGGGCCTGTTCGAGGAAAAAGTTGAAATTTCGATTTTTAGAGACGTATGAAAAGTTGAAATTTTAGATTTTGGCTTGGAACGGTATGAGGAAAAAGTTGAAATTTGAATTTTTGAGGCTATTGTTGAAGAATTTAAATTTTCGATTTTCCCTCGTATCTGTTCAGATGAAAAAGTTGACATTTCGATTTTTAAGATCCGATTGAAAAGTTGGAATTTTAGATTTTGCCTTGGGCCACTACGAGGAAAAAGTTGAAATTTGAATTTTGAAGGCTTCGATGAAGAGTTGAAATTATTGATTTTCGCTCTGATCTGTTGGAGGAAAAAGTTGAAATTTCGTTTTTTAGAGGCGAATGAAAAGTTGAAATTTTACATTTTGGCTTGGACCGTTATGAGGAAAAATTGGAAATTTGAATTTTTAAGGCTATGATGAAGAGTTGATATTTTCGATTTTTGTTCGGGCCTGTTCGAGGAAAAAGTTGAAATTTCTATTTTTTATATACCTTTGAAAAGTTGAAATTTTCGATCTTGGTTTGAACCACTTCGGGAAAAAGTTGAAATTTGAATTGTAAGGCAATTTACAAGAGCTGAAATTTTCGATTTACGCTTGGACCTGTTCGAGGAAAAAGTTGAAATTTGAATTTTTAGGCTGTAATGAAGAGTTGAAATTTTCGATTTTCGCTCGGACCTCTTCGAGGAAAAAGTTGAAATTTTGATTTTTAGAAACCTTTGAAATTTGAAATTTTAGATTTTGACTTGAACCGCTTAGAGGAAAAAGTTGAAATTTGAATTTTTAGGATCTAATGAAGACTTGAAATTTTCGATTTTCGCTCGGACCTCTTCGAGGAAAAAGTTGAAATTTTGATTTTTAGACACCTTTGAAAGTTGAAATTTTAGATTTTGACTTGAACCGCTTAGAGGAAAAAGTTGAAATTTCGATTTTCAAGAGCCTAGAGAAAAGTTGAAATTTTCGATTTTTGTTTGTTCCGCTTCGGGAAAAGGTTGAAATTTGAATTTTTAAGGCTATTTTGAAGAATGGAAATTTTCGATTTTCACTCGGAACTGTTCCAGGAAAAAGTTGAAATTTCGATTTTTAGAAACCTGTGAAATTTGAAATTTTAAATTTTGGCTTGAACCGCTATGAGGAAAAAGTTGAAATTTGAATTTTTAGGCAATGATGAAGAGCAGAAATTTTCGATTTTCGCTCGGACCTGTTCGAGGAAAAAGTTGAAAATTCCATTTTTAAAACCCGTTTGAAAAGTTTAAATTTTCGATTTGGGTTTGGACTACATCAGCGAAAAAGTTGAAATTTGAATTTTCAAGGCTGGTAATCAAGAGTTGAAATTATTGATTTTCGCTCTGATCTGTTGGAGGGAAAAGTTGAAATTTCGATTTTTAAGACCCGAGAGAAAAGTTGAAATTTTCGATTTTGGTTTGTTCCTCTTCGGGGAAAAGTTGAAATTTGAATTTTTAGGGCAATGATGAAGAGCAGAAATTTTCGATTTTAACATCTATAAACAATGTTAACATCTATAAACAATGTTATTAACTCTACCAACGCGATTATAGAATCTATTAGTAAGGTTTTGGACTCTACCGAAAACCGCCAAATATCGTACGACACCAGAATGGAGACCTTCCTTAAGGAGTTTTCCATAATTTTAGACGAGAAAAACAGAGCGATAAACGAGCGAGATATCACTATCAGACAGCTTCAAGCGAATTTGTCGGAAATTGAAAATGAAAGAAACTCGTTAAATCTTAAGAATTCACCAACAAAGCATGTTGACAATAAAAGTAAGACTGCATCGCCGCCAATGCAGCCCCTGATGTGTCAAATGAATAATATTGAGGATTTAATCAACTTGTCTGAAATTAACGATCTATGTGATATTGAAACCGATGTCTTGGGCGATGCATACAAATCTGATGATATGCTTCTAAGTCCAAACAATTCTACTATAAAGGAACTTGAAGCCTTTATTGACAAGTCTTTCTATAGCGCCTCTGTCGAGCTATCTAATCCTGTCCGGCAGCCGACGGACTTCTCTACTCTAGCGCAGGGACGCTCTGAGGAAAACTTGCCTAAACCCGAAGCTCAATTTCTAACATTTAAAGAAAATGTTGAAACTCGGCTGCAAGTTTTGTCGTTCAAGCTCTTTGAACAGAATAATACCATAAATATAAATAAACAAGAGCTATGCAAATTGACCTGCAAAAATTTACATCTTAAATCACGTATCTCGGAGTTGGAGGGGAGATTGTCGCCTAAGAATACAAAAAATGGGAGTAGTGACCTGAGCCCGTATGGAAAAATAGTTAAAGGAAATAATATCTTAACTGCGAATATAGATGCTTGTGCTATTTCTAGTCGCCTTTCGCCTGGAACAACTGCATATGTCGATGACAGCGATGAATATGCTATCTCAACTGCGAATGCCGATGCTTGTGCTGTTCCTAGTGACAGTCCACCCGAAAAAAGGGCGCATGCTGATGACACTTCGGCCCCTATAAGTCAACAGTGTGGTGAAGATAACAGCGGAGATTATGATAAAGAGACTCGGAACCGGACTGACAATATCGTCAACCCAGAACGCACAATCAAGTCAACAAAGCAAGTTTTGTACACGTTAAGCAATCCAACTATAGATAACCATGGAGAG